AAAAAAAAAAAAGAAATTCCAGACTTTTGAACAAGCCATTTATAATAATTAGAGACTGTTTGAAAATTAAAACTATATAATAAGCATTTTCTCCATAAATCCTTTTGTTTCTTTTAACTTAATTTCCTATTTTTAATGTGAAGAAAGTTGAAACCACAGTCCTTCCCAGTTGGACCATTCTGAGTTGCTTCTAGCCACTGGATGTAAATTGCAAAAAAAATATTAAAAAATAAAAGCCCAAGGTTTTTTTGTTCTCAAAAGAATAGAAACACCATTATTTTTCTTATTATGTGAGCTAGAAACAACAATCATAGTAATCTGTTGACCTTTCAAAGGGGGAGAACAGAACTGTGGTTACTAGAGGTGGGGGAGGAGAATGAGGGTTAGCGAGGAATTGGTTAATGGACACAGGGAATGATTACATTTTGTAATGATGAACATGTGAATTATCCTGATTTGATCATCACACATTGTGAACAGGTATTGATGTTCAACTCTATCCCACAAGTATATATAATTATTTTTCACTTTAAAAAAACCTACATGCTAATGATAGAAATTTTTGTATTTAAAAATCACAGTAAACAAAAAGAAGAAAATACCATAATTCCTCCACCTAGAAATAATCACTACTAATACTTTGTTATGTATCCTTCCAAAAATATGCCCAAGATTATGTGATAGGTTTGTGTACATTAGTTTTATTAAATGTTCTTTTGTAACCTGTTTTTTCCCCCAAGGAACTGTCTTTTTATTGATAGCAACTATTCATCTCACAGGGAGTCCCTATGAGATTTTATTTGGTAGAATGAAAAGGTTTTTTAAAAGAACTATAATACTTATACCTGTGTATTTTTCCTTCCGTGCTTTATAAAAACAATACACTAGATTTCTCTAATTCTTTCTATTAAGATCTCACTGATACATACTTGTAGCTAAGTCCTTGTAGCTAAGTCTTCATGAACAGCATTAATTTTTTTCTTAAGATAAATTACCCAAAATGGAATTGGTAGATCAAAGGAGTTAAGCCAGTCTCGTAGCCTATGTTTAAGTTAACTATGGCAAACTAAAATGCCCCAAGAGCCAGGTAAGCCATGCTAGTGAGTAAAGTGAGCCAGGGTGAAACAGAAGCAGACTGATAGCCTGTTCCTTGACTCAAAGGGTTAGTTGCAGCTAAGCTCCAGCCAGTTATTGCCAAAATACCTAGTGTTGCCAAATCATCCACCCTCTCTCTGAAAATGGAAGGTCTGGATTTTTATGGGAAAACTCCCAAGTTTTTAAATGTTTCTAGTCATTAAATACTTGTTATGGGGCTAGCTGGTTAGCTCAGTTGGCTAGAGCGTGGTGCCAGTAACACCAAGGTCCAGGGTTTGATCCCTATACCAGCCAGTCACCAAAAAAAAAAAGTCATGATCAATCTTTTGAGTTTATTCCCCACAAAAGGGTTGGAACTAGTTAATGGTGATGTTGCACAAAGAGAGATATATTAGATGCTTAAGATATTTCATAGGCTTTCACAGATTATTTCACCCCTATTCAAATGGATAACACTAAGTAAAGGTGTTCTAAAATAATATGCGGATTAAGTCATTTAAATAGAAAAATATTCATATTATCCATTCACTTAATAGTTGACTACATACTCCTAAGCACATAACTTTATAATAGATTAATTTATTGAGAAAATTAATCTATTTCTGGACTGAAGTTTGGGGCTGCCTTTTTTTAAAAATCTGATTTCTTGAGTTTTCTGGTATCTGTTTTGACACAGATAATGCTCGCCAGATGCTGGATCAGATAGCCCAAAGATAACTTAAGGTTCTAAAAATTCATAATTCCATGTCCATCTGGTGATCCGTTTTGAGGATTCTTTTTAAGACAAAAATATTTTCACTCATAGTGTTATATGCAAGTTAATAGGAATTTAAGTGGTGCTGGAACAATTGGATGTCCATATGCAAAAAAAAAAAAAAATCTAAATGTAACATCTTATACAAAAATCAACTCAAAATGGATCAGAGATCTAAATGTAAAATATAAAACTTTTAGAAAAAAAATATATTTACTATATGATCAAAAATATCACTCCTATATATGTGTCACTCATATATATGTTTACCCTAGAGAAATGAAACTTTTGTCCACACAAAAACCTATATGAATGTTTGTACAGGCTATATTCATAATCACCAAAAAATAGAGACAACACAAATGTCCTTTGGTGATGAATGATTAAACTGTAAAATTTATATAATGGAATACTACTCAGCAATAAAATGGAATGAACTGTTAATACTAAATAACAGCTTTGGTGAATCTTAAAGACATCATGCTAAGTGAAAGAAGCCAGCATTCCACTTCTATTCCATTTATATGACATATTTTCAAAGACAAAACTATAGTGACGGATCAGACCACTGTCTGCCAGGAGTTGGAGGGAGGGCATACTATAGTGGCCAGCACAACAGAAGTTTTTTGGGGATGATGGAAATGGAACAGTTTTGTATCTTTATTGTGGTGGTTACACAAATAGAGCTGTACACCCCCAAAAAGTTGATTTCACCATGTGTTCATTTAAAAAATAAAATAGGGGCCGGCCCGGTGCCTCACTGGAGAGTGCGCCGCTTGGGAGTACGGCGGCGCTCCCGCCGAGGGGTCGGATCCCATGTAGAGACCGGTTCCCGCTCACTGGCTGAGCACGGTGCGGGCGCAACACCGAGGGTTGCGATCCCGTTGCCAGTCCCCGGTACGGGCGCGACACCGAGGGTTGCGATCCCGTTACCGGTCAGTAAAAAAGACAAAAAAGGAAAAAATAAATAAATAAATAAAATAAAATAAAATAAAATAGGAATATGTAACAAGGTAATACCATTGGCTTTTCCTTAAAAGGGTGATAAAAATAACAATTGTGGCTAATAATGATGTCTAAAATTAGAAATTTTATTGTATAAATTATATAAGAGTCCAAGGCAAACGTTTTGGGGGATTTTTTGCTTGTTTTTTAAAATAGCATTGCTAATAACCTTGAATACAATTTTGTGAGCCAAATAATAGCAAACTTTTTTCATGGGATATATTTTTTCTTTTAATTTTTTTAAGAATCAGATGGGTGACTCAAATATCTCCAGCCCTGGGTTACAGCCAAGCACTCAGCTCTCCAATCTGGGAAGCACAGAGACTCTAGAAGAGATGCCCTCCGGGTCACAAGATAAGGTTCGTATAGCTTAAGCCGTAGCTTTGTCCAAAGTAACAAAGAATAACGTTTTGTTAAGTGTTTCAATGTAGTGCATGTTTGATTTGTCCCTTACCTGTCAAAGTCCATACATGAAGTGCCATAACAACACCAACCAGATTAGTTCCCCTGGTCCACGTAACTGTCTTTCATCAGGATTTTGCAGTAACCTCTTATTTTGGCCTCCCAACTTTTGCCCTTGCCACTCCCTTACCTATTCTTAACCCAGCAGCCTCATTAATCCTGGTAAAACTTAAGTCAGATCATGGCATTCCTCTGCTTAAAACCCTCCAGTGGTGTCCTGTCTCATTCAAATACAAGCCAAGATTGTAGCAGTGGCCCATGAGGCTCTACCTGATGTGGCCCCTCTACACTTGGCTACATCTACTACTGTTCCTTGCTCACTTGGCTCCAACCATTTTGGCTCTTTTGCCTTTCCTCAAATATGCCAGACATGCTCCTGCCTCAGGACAGGCCTTTGCACTTGTTCCCTTGGCCTGCAGTGCTTTCCTCCCAGATATGGCTCGCTCCCTTTCCGCTTTCAGGCCTCAAATGTCCTCCATAAAGGTGAAGGCTTCTCTGACTGCTCTATTTAAAATAACCCTCCCCCACCTCCGTCCTCCTGCTGTGCTTTATTTTCTCACTAATACTTCTAACCAGCTAACATCGTTTGTGTTTTTCTTCTTTATTCATTGTCTGTCTCCTGCCCACCAAAATATAAGCTCCATGGGGGCAGGCAGTTTTATTTGCCTTATTTATTGCTATATCCTTAGCATCTAACATTGTAAATATTTGTTGAATTAATTAGTTCTCTTAATAATTGATGGTCCAATAAACGAAAAGGCATCAAGTAAAACCCATAGTTTTTAGTTTTTTGGTTTGTTTGTTTGTTTTTTGGTTGCTGGTCTGTACTGGGAACCAGACCCTTGACCTTGATATTATAAGTCTGTGCTCTAAAAACCCATTGTTTTTAAATTAAAATTTTTATCTTGAGATAATTATAGATTTACATGCAGTTGTAACAAATAATACAGAAGGATCCCATGTACCCATTATCCATTTCCCCATTGATAACATCTTGCAAAATATAATTTAATATCACAACCAGGAATTTGATGCAATGCACACACCTTCAGATTTCTTCAGTTTTACTTGTATTCATTTGTGTGTGTGCGTGTGTGTATGTATGTATTCAGTTCTATGCTATTTTACCTCATGTGTAACTTTATGTATCTTCCACCACAGTCAAGGTACAGAATACTTCCATTACCACAAGGATCCTGTGTGTTGCCCTTTTACGATCGCACCAACTCCCCTGTCATACCCTGTCTGACTCCTCAGTTCCACCCTCATCTTTAACCCCCACCATCATTATCTGTTTTCCAGTTCTTTAATGCTGTCATTTCAAGAATCTTACATAAATTGAATCATACAATGTATTAGTCTGTTTCTGTTGCTTATAACAATATACGTGGGACTGGGTATTTTGTAAGAAAATGAAATTTATTGCTTACAGTTTCAGAGGCTTGGAAGTCCAAAGTCCAGGAAATACATCTGGTGAGGGTCTTGGTGACTTCAGTGACACAGGGTATCACATTATGAAATGGTAGAGCAGAGAGAGGGAGAGAACAAGACAGACTCTCCTCTCTCTTCTTTTATCTTTTTTTTTGTCTTTTTCCGTGTCCGGCAAAGGATCGCAACCCTCAGTGTTGCCCCCGTACCGGACCGGGGACCGGCAACGGGATCGCAACCCTCGGTGTCGCTCCCGCGCCTCGCTCAGCCAGTGAGCGGGAACCGGTCTGTATGTGGGATCCGAACCCTCGGGCGGGAGCGCCGCTGCGCTTCCCAAGCGGCGCACCTATCCAGTGCGCCACCGGGCCGGCCCATCTCTCTCTTCTTTTAAAGCCCTCAGAACCACGCCCCTGACCACCATTTTTAATCCATTCACTACTGCGTGGTCCTACAATCTAATCACCTCTTCAAGGCTCCACCTTTCAGTTACCATAATAGGATTTCCCACCCTTTTAACAGTCACAGTGAGGGTTAAATTTCTAATCAGTGAACCTTGGGGGGCACAATTCAGTCAATCCACAGCATACAAAATCTTTTGAGATTGTCCTTCACCCATCGTAATTCCTGGATACTCACTGAAGTTGTGTGTATGAAGTTTGTTCCCTTTTATTGTTGAGTAGTGTTACATGACATGGGAGCACCACAATTTGTTTAAACATTTTTAACCATTCACCTATCAAAAGACATCTAGGTTGTTTTCAGTTTTGGACTATTATGAATAAAGTTTCTGTGAGCATTTGTGTACAGGTTCTCATGTGAACATAAATTTCTATTTCTCTGGGATAGATGCTCAAGAGTGAAAATGTTGGGTCATTTGATAATGGTGTGTTTTAGTTTAATAAGAAATTGCCCATATGTTTTCCAGAAAGGCTGTACCATTTTACATTTCCATCAGCAATGTATCCATAATGTTTTTAGGTATTTAAGATTGCTTTTTTTTTTTTTTTTCCTTTTTGTCTTTTTCCGTGTCCGGCAACGGATCGCAACCCTCAGTTACATTTCCATCAGCAATGTATCCATAATGTTTTTAGGTATTTAAGATTGCTTTTTTTTTTTTTTTCCTTTTTGTCTTTTTCCGTGTCCGGCAACGGATCGCAACCCTCAGTGTCGCCCCCGCACCGGACCGGGACCAGCAACGGGATCGCAACCCTCGGTGCTGCCCCCGCGCCTCGCTCAGCCAGTGAGCGGGAACCGGTCTGCATGTGGGATCCGAACCCTCGGCGGGAGCGCCTCCGCCCCTCCCAAGTGGCGCACTATAGCAGTGCACCCCCGGGCCGGCCCTTAAGATTGCTTTTTTTTTTTTTTTCCTTTTTGTCTTTTTCCGTGTCCGGCAACGGATCGCAACCCTCAGTGTCGCCCCCGCACCGGACCGGGACCAGCAACGGGATCGCAACCCTCGGTGCTGCCCCCGCGCCTCGCTCAGCCAGTGAGCGGGAACCGGTCTGCATGTGGGATCCGAACCCTCGGCGGGAGCGCCTCCGCCCCTCCCAAGTGGCGCACTATAGCAGTGCACCACCGGGCCGGCCCTTAAGATTGCTTTTTAAAATTAATTAATTTTATTTGTTTGTTTTGGCGGCTGGCCAATATGGGGATCTGAACCCTTGGCCTTGGTATTATAACACCGCACTGTAATTGAGCGAACCAGCCGCCTTTTTTTAGGTATTTAAATGATGCTTCATTTAAACCAGATTGTGTATACTACATTCCTGTGCTCCATTTTTGCTGTATTTGGATTTAGTATCCTAAAGGTCAAACATATATTATTCATGGTTCTATTACAAAAATTTTGTTACAAATTAAATATTTTTAGATATATGTTTAAAAAAGGGAGAGAGCAGGGTTCACAGATTCCTTCTGTTCTTCTTTTCTGGTTTATCAGCCAGGAGTGTTCAGTGGGCCTATCACTTACCCCTTCTGAATCATGAGTCACTTCCCCTTTTTCTTTCTGAATCATGGGGTTAAGGATTTCTTGCACCACCTAACTCACAAAGTTATTATGAAACCCAAAGGAAGAAATGGGCCAGAAAAAAATGCCTTAAGAATCTTAAAGCATTGGTCATTAAAGATGAAAGTTGAGTGTGACAAGCCATAGATACTCTGCTTTTCAACAACAGCACCAATGATGGATCTGGGGACATACAGAATTCAAGTGGATACTCGAGGTGTACCCTCTTATGCAAAAATAGTGCTGATGTTGCGGTTATTATTCCTTCATTTCTCACATACTATTAAAATAGCATTTTTTAGGTCAAAGTGACAAAATTTTATAAGATAATGAGATCTGGATGTTGTTAGAAGCCTTGTGATTGACTAAAATTAGCTCAAATCTATAATCAGCCCCTACACACAGATTCATTTGTTCAGTAACACTGCCATCTAGTGCTGGGGAGAAAATAGTGCCATCAAGCCTAAATAGTATTAAATTTCATTTCAGTTTCATAATTTAGTTATTAAAATTCCCTTGGGACTGTTTCCCTAGTTTTTTGCTTCCTGTGGTCAAGAATAATGCCTGCCTTCTAGTGTGCCCAGTGCAATGACCAGTAGATCCAAACAGAAATATTAAATTCTCTATACATCAAGAGGTATGGGGTAAGGAAAGAACTGTGTAAAACCTGATATAATATATTAGAATTTTATTATGCACCATACATGCTGTTGCTCACTGAATTCCATTTCCCAAGGAGAATGGTCAGACTACCACTGATCTAAGTGAAGCATTGCAAAATTCAGAATCCAGACTTTAACCATATTCAGACATAAGGAAGGGGTAAAATTTCACCTTTTCTGTGAGTGATGGAAGATTAATCCATGAATAAATAAGCTACTAGAGGAATGTTGCCAGTTTTTCTTATCATAGAGAAGAAGCGTAGACTGAGTTATCTCAAATGCAGATACTGTAAAGGTTTTGGAAGAGTGTGTGGAAAGGTGTGCTGTGCTCACTTTGGCTCTTGTGACAGATCAGCCAGTTAGATATTTCCAAAGCTGATGCACTTTGACCTGTAACCACCTCATACTTATTCAAGCCTTAGCTGCACTTCTGTTTTCCAGACGTAAATATCACTATCCAGGTGATTAGGCAACCTATAGTCTGCTTAACTGACATCTCAGTATGGTGGCATACTGGTTGACTATATTGTTAGAACTAGGTTGGTGTCTGGGTCTGTTGTTGTTTTGGGGCATCATCTATAATTGGCAATAATAATATTACCTACCTTCTCAGATTAATAGAGTAATGCATGTAAAGTGCTTAGCACAAGGCCCTCCCACGTAGTGAGCATTGTCTATGATAACTCTTTATTGCCATCACAGATTCATTTATTCCTTCTTATGTGAGAAGACCTCTGAAACCCTAATGCTTTTACCATACACCCTATTCCAGAAAAAGTCTGAGAATCTGTTCCTGGCTTGG